TGGAGCCTGTTATCGCTGTGGCAGAGAGGGACACTTTGCCAGAGACAGGAACTGCCCAGCGCGTGACAAAACGTGCGAAAAGTGCAAAAAGAAAGGATATTTCGCAAAGTACTGCAAAAGAAGAACTGTAGGCACTCAGGATGATCAGCACAAGCGATCCTTTCAGAAACGAGGAATCAACAATGATGATGTGGACAGTATTGATAACTATGATCAGGAATATGATGATGAGTTTGCATTCAATGTACACATGGCCAGTAAATGTAGTACGATACTATTCCTATTATCGTAGACAAGTCTGATGTTGATGTGTTTGTTGATAGTGGGGCTTCTGTGAATATGATTGATAGCAAATTGTGGGAATAGCTAAAAGGGAAGAAAATTCGATGCAAGTCACAGAAAACAGACACAAAGTTGTGTGCGTATGGGTCGGAGAAACCATTAGAGTTGCTTGGAAAATTTTGCACACAAGTTGCACTAAAAGGGGAAGAGCCAATAGAGGCTGAATTCTTTGTGCTAAAAGGAAAAGGGCTCAGCCAAGCCCTGGGATGGTGGAAAATTCTCAACTCATGTCACGACTTGAGAAATTGGAAGTGATGTTCTCTCGCGTCGTAGACGCTCTACTGATGTCAGGGACTGCTGTCGGCAGCCACGGCACTGAGATTCAATCTATACATGATTTGACGAATTTGCCTTTGTGGGCGTAATGTTTTTTATTATTGGACGTATAATGGGGTTGCCCTTTGTAAGTTCACAAACGAAGGAGGATTTTGTTCAAGGAAAAAAAAGGGAAAAAAAGAAGAAAAAAAGAAAATGAAAATAGTTTGTTTGTTGTTTGTTTTTTTGTGGGGGGGAAACATTGTTTTGTATAAATTATGTATGTTGTGAAATGGACCAGACTGTTGCAAAAACCGGTCTAAGCAGGTTTGAGCCACTGATTGTGGCCCCCAAGTTTTTTTTGAGGGGTTAAGTTCTCCCTGGGATGAGTTTTAAAACGGGGGGAGTATAGTAGATTATGATATCAAACAACGTCTGCAGTCTACAATAGCAGCCCTCACCACTAGAGGGCGGTATTCCCTTCGGAAGGCTACGTGGTAGAGAGCCAACCTCCACTCTCTCTCTCTTACACCGACACCCGAACCGAACAGACGTACCTATACTGGAATGAAAAGGATGACTGGTCTGGTACATTTCCAGTGAGTATTAAATGCTTGGTTTGGTGTCGAAGTAGATGCCCAAGTCTACTTCACTACGAATAAATGAAAAGGAAACCCAGGTACTAACTTTTCGTATTCAAGCTTCCGAAAGGAATAACAATTTCTAGCATTGGTTTGACTATCAACCTTATTTGCTGTTCAGGTTTGTCAGGCAGTGATACTGAGATTGATAATGAAATTGTTGCTGCTGAAGACATTACCAAGCTAGACTTAGCAAATGAAGACAATCATAAAGACAATGAGGACATTCAAATTGGTTTTGAATGTAGGCAGTTTCTCAAGGACAATGAAGACAAACTAGATGTTGCAACATTCTACACTTCTGCTAAGAACTTTTTGAGTGCTTCCTCATCATACATGATCCAGAAGTATGCATTTAATGATGATCTGCTGCTCAATGCAGAAGTGCTTGATATTTCAGCAAGGCTTCACAAGAAGTTCAGTTCTGTTGGGTACTTCATCAAAAGATTCAACCTGCTTCCCCTTGACAAAATGGACAAAGTTGAATCTGAATTCTTGAGCTATCAGATTGACAAAGATATTGTCAATATTGATATTGAAGATGGGAGAATTGATGAGAAATGGCACAAAATTGGACAGCTAAGAGACTTCTCAACAAATTCTCCAAAGTATTCTCTCCTGACTTCAGTTATGAAATGCATACTAGTAGTATTCCACAGCAACAGTGACTGCGAACACATCTTTTAAATTATTGAAAGAAAAAAAAACTAAGCAAAGGGCTAGTTTAGGGACACCAACATTAGGTGCATTGCTCATCCATAAGTTGGCAGTGCAGAATAGGGGCGGAAAGTGTTTCTCCTCTGAATATTCCCCAGAAACACTCAAGGCCGGCAGCAAAGAGTGCAGCAAAGAGTGCAGCCCTGTCAGGCCTATCTACACACCTGTAATGGTCAGTAACAATTGTACAACTAGCAAGATGGGTTAATGGTTAGCCAGAGCCGGCATTTCATTTCGTTTGTGCCATAATGCTTCAGTTTTCGGGGGCGCTGCACCCTAACCCCCGCAGAGGCGCTGCCCCTGCTCGAAATTCTTAATTCTTATTTTCAAATGTTGGTAGCTCATATCCGTGAACTACTGACGAACTGAAAGCAATCATGTGCAATTTACTTTTTAGTTACAGGTATGAAGACACAAAAGAGCAAGAAGCAGAGGAGGAAAGTAGGGGCACGTCACAAGTGAACAGCTGAGGAGATAAAAGAGGTGTCAAAGCTGTTCTCAAAATACTTTCAGAGGAACAAAACGCCCGGGGAAGAGGCAGTAAAGTCAGCAATGGCAGTCAGCAGGAAGAATGGAGGACTTATCTGGAAATTGCCTTTGAAAAATATTAAATGTAAAGTGAGTTGGATGCGGCTTCACCCAAAGTAGAGGAATTTTTAGTGCAGACATTTGTTTCAGGCATAATTAGAGGCATAAGAGGGTAATGGAAGGGGATTTGGTCACCCTCAAGATAGGTGTTCACTAGTGCATCAGTTTTTATTGTGGGAAGGTCATTTTGATGCATATTTGCTCTATTTCAAATACCATTTGTATACTCACATGTAATGCCTCTTTTACAGGTGAAATATACTAAATTGACTTCAGAATAAACATCACTTTGAATGCCAAAGTCTACATGTATGTATTTATGCTTTTTTGTGCATGTTTGATCCTCCTTCATTTCTTTATTAATGCCTTGTCCTTGGCCTTGGCCTTGAGGTTTCATGCCTTGGCTTTGGCCTTGGGTATCCATGCCTTGGCCTTGGACATTGAAGCCTTGGCTTTGTGCCTTGACTACAACACTGTTATGTATCAGTTTGAATGCCTCCCTATAAGATACAAATGGTGAAAATTTCAGTGAAACGGACAAAAATTGGCAAAGCTATGAAGAAAACAAAAATCTAGTTATAGGCCGTGTGGCCAATTTTACCATACGGGCCCTTATGGTTGCACATGGATGATTGCTTTCTTTGTTCTTGTTTGAAAACAACAAAATCTAAAAGAGGATCTCAATAAAAGTAGCGAAATTAAATTGCGTTGTATACGGATATACGGGATGCAGTTCAGGGGGGGGGGGGGAGAAAAAGAAATATGAGTATGTGACTATGAAGTGGGATAGTATAATATTTGAGATATTTTATTATTTTTTAGCACGGTCAATCTTTTATCAATCATTTCGCCTATTCCGATTATTATGATTAAGTTTAGAATTTAGATCTATATAAGTTTCCCCCTGGATGTAAGAGAGGCAAAAGGGGTCCACAGCGGTCAACACTGGACAAAGCATCCAGGAGTTTCATTCGACGAGAAGAGGTATAAGATCATCCTTACACAAATAGTATCCAGTTAAAAGTATATTCAGCCAAAACTGAATAAGGGGTTGTTTTTCTCTGTTGAAAAGCTAGCTGATCATGTACAATAATAAATCCATAGAAACAATGTACTTTTTTAAAAATGCCAAAAAAAAATATTCAGAAATGCATGCATTATCCTTGATGTTATTCTGTACAAATCCATTGAAAAATGACAAAAGAGCAATTTAATGATTTAAGAAACTATTCTGCATAAACTTTTAGTCAGGTTTATGATTTTATTGCACACTTAGACCACTCTGCATTAACCAATATTGGGTAAGTCGAGTAATGGTCAATTTTGGAGATAAGGGCATTCAAAACGTGTTATTATCTTATCGTAACCCTATAGTCACATGTTGTCCAAGACAATGCAATTTAGAAATGCAGAATTGTGTAGCCTACAGCTGTATATATATCATATTCTCATTTGAGGCAAACAGATTCTACTTGCTGAGATTTTATTTTTTCTTCATATATTTATGTTCTAGTTTGTTATGGTAATTTAAATTTAATAAAAACTAAAATATGTCAGTGCTTGGTATGAAATTTCCTGGATGATTTTAAACAGCAACACAGTACAGCCATGAGTTGTTGTTTTTTCTCTGTGTAAGTTTTGTCTTGTTGTTTTTTCTTTCTTTTTCATAAAAATCGGCACCAACATCCCAACTTTCCTTGAAGAGGAGAAGCAAACCCAACCATTTGTTTTGGCCCTTGGAAAGTCAGAAGAGCCAGAGCAATGTTTTGTGATATTGGAGAAGAATGCAATCAATTGCAACTCTCTCCTGCAGGCCATTGATGTATGTTTTAAGTTGGTGTATGTTCTCGACATAGACTATGCCTGGGAGTGCCAACACGCATGGAATTCTATCTAGAAGTTTTTTTACAACCTTGGAGAAGGAAAGGGAAGAAGCATGTCTGTACCCAGTGTAACTCTTTTTAGAAACTTCCTTGCAAAGAAATCCCAAATGTTTAATACATGACAAGCACGGTTCTAGGACACCTACCCCCTGGACACCCCCCCCCCCCCCCTCCCCCCGATAACCACACCTAGGATAATCACCCTCTACGACAACCATCCTCTAGGACAACTCCCCCCTACGACAACCATCCCAGGGGTAGTTGTCCAGGGGGTAGCTGTCCTTGAGGGTGGTTGTAATAGGGTATAGTTGTCTGGGGGGTAGTTGACCAAGGGGGTGGTTGTCCAGGGGGTAGATGTAGGGATACGGACAAGCACATTTATAGGTGTATAAGTGTGAAATTATATTATGTTATGATATTAGTCAGTAAGATGTTTTTTGACAAATGTTTAACCATTTTTTTTTTAACAACAGACGGTTTCATTTAACCTATAAAAAAAGTTAAGATTACTAAAATTCAAAAGAAAAGAAAAAATTACTTGTACACTCAGCAAAAAAAGAAAGTAGCTGTTATATATTGTAAAAGTGCAAAAGAAAAAGAAAATCAAACTAAAAGAAATAAATCAAATAAATCAAATCAAATCAATATCCAGCTAGTCAACCAAGTTGTCAGCTGGTGTAATCAAATAGACAGGTATTCATGAACACTGTACTATTACAAGCCTATCGACAATGCCCGTCGTTAAATGCCCCATCTCTGTTGGGACTACGCCTCCCTGGACTTTGATGCCCCTATCGTGGTCGACTTCGTCAACACCCACAGAACTATACACACCTCTGGACAAGCTGCCAAGGTCGAGAAGGTCAAAAGGCTCTAATTCTTTCGATTGTAATTAGCTAGCTAAGAGAGATTAATGGACAGATTTTCAATCCGAGAAGGAAGCTTGCATGCTCCTGACCCTGTTAGTAACAAGGATGAGAGTCATCATGAGACAGTACCACAGCCATGAAAAAAGAAAAAGAAACCTGTAGCGAGTAAGGCGATGGTGAAGTCGTGGGGGCATGAGACAGTTACAGCGCGAAACGGCAAGGGAGCTCTGCAGATCCACTGCATGGCTTACCGTTCATATCTGCCCCAAACAGAGGCTCTGTGTCAAATGCCCCGTTCATCAATGTCACAAACAACACAAAGAAATTCTTGACCGTCAGAGACTATATCCCACATCAAATAATTACTAGTTACCAGTGCCCAAAGTGTGCCCGTTCATCCGAGAAAATTCACTTTTGCTCAGGTCATCCACCTGAAGATAAAACACTGCCAAAAGCTCCTTACAATAGCATCTATCAGGTCAACAAAAGATTTGCCAGCTCTGGTAGAGACACAGCCAGATGATGTAATATGCTCCTCTTTAAAACACCAGTTTCCAGCTAAACCAGAACCTTCCATAGCAACAATCAGGAATATATATATATATATATATATATATATAGTGTATTTTAGATGCTTTTATCCAGAGTTTTTGAGAAGGCAATAGGAATTTAAGTTACATGACACTAGTATGAAGACAGAAATATAAACAACGTTTCTCCAAGTAGGATTGGTTACAAGCCAGTTATGGACACTCCGATCAAGCCTGGCTCACAGGTGTACTTAAGGTGTTCATAGAGACGTTATGTCACAATGTGATCTGCGCGCTACACAAGAACAGCATGTTATTATTACTACTTAATGTCATAGGATTTCCATTCCGTTGGACAGTTGATGAGCTGGAGGGCATTTCACAAAACTTTTCATCAGTGACAAATGACAGTTGTTGTTATAAGCTAGTGAAATCCTTGATTGGTTATCAGCAGATTTGTCACTGATATTTGTCATTTGTCATTGAAAAAAGGCTTTGAGAAATGGGGCCCCAGGAGAATAAAAAAACTAGGACTACTACTGCACAGTATTAGGGTTCCAATTGCAAACTGAGAACAATTGCTCTCAGGCTTCTACCACTTGTGTTGACTGGGAGAGGAAGAGGAAGGAAGGGGAAGGAAGAGAAAGAAAGGGGAAGTGTTCTACAGTCGAAAATCTCAACTCCTTTATTGATATGAAGCCTGTGGGGACAGATATGACATTCTATCTTAACAGCATTGACAGAAACAAGATGTCGCAGCCTTACATTCTGGTGATAGGTTCAAGGATCAACCCCCTTCAATTCTTCCTTATTGTGGAGAGACAAGCATTGGAGTTCAAGACAATGACCAAGGCAGTAGACTTTTGTTTTAAACTGATATACGTGCTGGATGTTCAGTACCAGGCTGCTTGAATAGGAACCTGGGATTTCCTACAGATTATTACAGAATATGTACTTGCCAGAAGCAAAAACTGTTGTAGTTTCAACATCTGTGCGGGAGCTCCACACATTTTTGACAAATGGAGACAAGTAAGCTGTAGGGCTCTATCAGCTACATTGTATTAGACTAACAGATTGCTTGAAATTGTAAGTGATTCTGTAACTCAAGGTTGGGGAATGAAAATCTGACAACGAAAGCAGTTTTATTTTACGAATTCCTAATTATGTGAGCGCTGTAATGGCAGCTAGGCTAAAGCCGGGGGTAATAATAAATATGCCTCGGAATTGAATTTCAAGATAGACGGTAATATAGAAATGCCTATCATTACTATCATTATTATAAACTTTAGCATAATTATAAAATATCACACACATATTCAAGCCCTGATATCATGCATTCTTACCACTTCATAATGCCCCAAATGGAAAGAATTTTGTTGGCAGTATTTCTGTCTCCTAATCAGTTTCCTTCAAATGAAGGCAATACACATAATCATTCCTGCACCCTACAATGACACGTTTACCCTCAATCACGACAGGTGATGAAAACACTTCACCCGGAAGCACCATTTCAGTTAGTACGTTGCCTGTCTGCATATCGAGAATGCAAACATGACCGTCCGTCGATGCGACGGCCACTCTGCGATGACCGTTCCGGGTGAAGCCGAAAGGGGTGGAGTAGATGGGGAAGGTAGAGACTTTGGAGGTCCACTCGAGCTGACCGGTCGAGGGGTCAAGACAGGTTACAGAGCCATTGTGGGATCCAAAGACGACCGTGTGACGAGATGGTTGTTCATCGTTGGAGAGGGGCTGGGAGAGCGGGTGGAGGGTTGAGATGCATGGTGATGAGAAAATGGGTCCATCGACTGTGTGGGTCCATAGCTGTCAGAAAACAACATAATTAAACATTAATTAAATTAGTGAACGATTCTAACTACTTTTCATGATCCCCCTTTTAATAATTCATAAATAATGGTCCAAATATCACAAGCGGTTTATCACACTGGCGTTGAGTGTGTGTGTGTCTGTTGGGATTTTACAGACGTGTATCAATTAGATATGATTATTTACATCCGGGGACCGTCATTTAAACTCACCATCCAAAAGCGTGACTCAGTGTCAAACCTGCGTCCTCGGCTGAATCACTTCCATTGTTAGCTGGATCACAGGTGCAGGCCACAATGCCCAGTTACGTTGAGGGTTAACATTCTACAATTTAACTCCAAATGACAAAATAATCCCAGCTATGCATTTTTAAAGCATTTGATAGCCAAAAACTTGAACATTTTCAGAATTAAAAAAAAAAAAAAAAATCTGACAATTTTTTTCCGATCAGCGATCAGAAATTATTACCTGATCTCACCTAATTGGCTCAAGATTGGCCCCGGATCCAATGATCCGTTACAGGCCTATTACAATTTATCTCTTTTTACCTCGTTTGGCGACCAATTTTGCACAAAGAAGGTGGACACTATGGATATCCACTCATACAATATTCAACACACTCTCCAAATAAAATCTTGCAATACCCTTAAATCTTCTTGTTTTTTAATGCCTCTTATAAAGTCCTTGAACAACAGTGGAAATACATGAACTTGTCACCACTAATCCTCTCAATTCTCACTACAGCAACTACGGTATTTGGCCATAGAGGGCAGCACCAACGATCTGTATATTTGGCAAAGGCACTCCCGGTTCCCATACAAAATCAATGGGTAGTATTATAGTTTCTGAACCAATGAACTTATAAATAACAGATTACAATGGTGCCAACATACATGTCAACAAACCATTGGGGAAGTTCATGAAACCTGAACAATAGTTTAGTAAAAAATAAGGAATTGGTTGACACTGCTGCACATTCTCTAAGGTACCGAAAGAAACCTTGTCAAATCGTCTTCCCTGGTATCGTATCTGTGCATATGCTGACCTGTGCAGCATGGGAGGAAGGTCGCCATCTGCTGTTTAATGGTATAGACCAGTTTTTGAAACGCCCCCCTTCTCAAAAAATGAAATTGAAGCTCTTATTACCAATCATGTGAAAGAATATGTTTTGACTAATACTTGATGATACAAATCTCGCTGGGAAACCGCCTACTAATTGATATATTTGGTCATTATCATATCGATCCGGCCTGGATAGATATCACAAATGCATTTCAACATTGGACATTTGGGCATATATTTGAGCTTTTTTGCAAATTTAGGTTGAACTATTGCCATTTAAACCTCTGAAGGCAATTTTTAAACAATATTGAATGGATGTTTTGCACCCAAAACCCTTGAACTGTATTTTTACCACTACCTTTAAAACATTGTATTTGCTGTACGGTGCATTGTGAGATCATTTACAAACTGCTTTTTCTGCTTTCCTACAAATCACTGCCAGGCTCTATATCTATCGCTGTGCCTACCTGGATGCCAGCATGAGATAGGCAGTACATGATGCCATCCACACATCCAACAAGAACGCTGTTGTCTATAGCAACAGGTGATGAGAACACTGGCTTTGGGCAGGCGAATGACCACTTCATTTCTCCAGACTCCTGTTATATTCAATACAGATTATGAGAAGAATTTAATAGGTTTGTTACACTTCAGAAGAATCTCCCTCTGAGGTGCCCGGTCACTTCAAGAAGGGAGGAAAAAGGACAGGTACCAGTTTACTAAATTTTCTTTAAAGGTAAAGACCAGTATTGGAAACGCCCCAATTTCAAAAAATGAAACGGAAGCTCTCATTACCAATCATGTGAAAGAATATGTTTTGACTAATACATGATGATAAAAAAATTGCCGGGAAACTGCCTACTAATTCATATATTTGGTAAATTTGTTTCTCTCATGGTCTGTGAGAGATATAGGGTAGTCCCATATACATCTTTCTGTGTATAGTGCTTGTAAATTTACGAAGAATGGGCCAAATTTCTTATCATTTTTATGATTTCAGAACCTTGCAGATGCTAGATGCTAGATGATCAACCTTTTCTGATCGATTCCACAACGTTTCTTTCGCATTCTTTCGCAACGCAACGTTTCGCATGACCATAACTGGTCTTTACCTTTAAGGGAACTATTCAAAATATTTTATAACAAGGAATGAACAGATTTTAAAGTGCTGTGTGGATGTCAATAACCAAGGAAACTACCATGAGACGAAGAAAATGTTTAAAAACAAAATCAAAACAAAATTCGTAAAATAACCAAGGAAACCTATAGCTCTTTACCACTCCAGTTTTACCTCGCATGTAAATGTCAGGCAACAGTAACCCCCAAAGACTTGGTTCATAGTAACAGTTTAAACATATTTTGTTCAGCTAAGTTTATTTCAAGAGCAATTACGCATTGAAAAATAAACAAACCCTGGGCCCCGTCTCATAAAGCGTTGCAAATAATCGCAACTAACTACATAAGAGATAGGAGAGTGTGAATTTTCCATTGCTTAAGCCCCACTGCGCTACTAATAACTACTTGCGCCCTCTATGTAGCAAACAATGCCTAATCAGTGACCATTGGTCCCCCATGATCCTCTTTTTCTTATGTTAATTGAGGGCTTATTTGATGAGATAACCAACTGTCAGTAACCATGCAGGGAGGTCTAATCCCTCCTGGTCAAACTAGTGCGGTGGGGCTTTAAAGGACTTGCAATTCGATTTGGATCACTCGCAACTCTTCATTGGACATGGCCCTGGTTAATACCTTGTTGAACGCTACTACACTTCCTCTCAGAGTGGCTGCTACTACAGTTCCTGTGGCATGGTGGATACAGGGTGATGCAAAGACGGATCCTCCTCCACAGTGCGATCGCCATTTCATCTCAAATTTCTCCTCCTACAAAGATACAGAAGAGGGTGGAAAAAATGTCGGCAAAACCTACAACAAATGACATCCTAGGTAGTTTAAAGTTCTGGTATAAATGGAAAGTTATATTCTCTCAGAACCCAACAAATCCACTGAATGTAAAAAAGTACAAATATATGGCATTAGCAGATTGATATGTGACATTCTACTTTGTTTGTTGCTGTTGTATGTTTGTTTGGGGATTTCCTGGGGGGGGGGGGGTCATGATAGATAAAGCAGAGAATTGAAGAGACTAGCAGTATACATGACTTACTATATTTGACGTGCAAAGTACATATCTTGTTCCATATGTCCACAATTGTTTGATTATTCTGTTTACATCCGCACCCAAATGTGTCCAGCTAACATACAACTTCTATTACAAGATCCTATAATCAGCCAATATTAGTATTTCAAGACTCGATAGACTTAATCAAAGAGAAAATGTCAAGTATTTTTAAAATGTATTTTTATCGTGAGGCTGCTTTAAAAACATTATAATTTAGAAACCTTAGTACCTTAAATCTAGAAAACTGTATGCACATGAAATGTTCACAATGTAGCATGTGGTTCAGATTCACAAAAGTTTCATGCTTTCAGAAAATCGAATCACAAAAAGGCACAACACTACATTTGCATTTTGGCAATTTGTGAAAGTTTCCTGCTGTTAAAATGAGCATCATCCGTAACAATTTTCAAGTTTCCCATTGCAGAAGTTCCGGTTTTACAGCAGATAAATTCTTTGTGCAAATTACCTGAACTTGCAACGCCATGACATGTTGGTCATGTGATCCGACGTACACCAGTCCATTTGTGACATCACAGACTGGTGAGCATTTGACCACATCTCCAGTCTCATACTTCCAACAGATGTCTCCAGAGGACGCAGACAGGCAGTACACAAAATGATCATAGCAACCTGGTAAACAAAAACATTTATATAATCTTAGTTATTTCCCTGCAATGCATTATAGCCTACCTATCGGCACCCCAAACAAGTGAATTGCTACATGTTTCTTCCCTACATTATAACACGTATCCTCAATAGATATGAACTTCATTCTAATTGAAGATACTTAATACACCCTTTAGCACTGACAAAAAGCTTCACTAAGCCAAATCAACTCTTGATAGTTCATTTTCGACAACCATTCAAAAAACGTGGTGCTTACTTATGAGCCTATCAAAAGCAGATACAAATTCATAGATCACAGTAGTATAGCAACCTGGTTGGTCCCATTCAATCAAGATTTAGACCTTCCTCAGTCCAATAAATCTCAGGCAGGCAGTATAATTATCACAATTACATAACATAACCCATCAAAAGTCAACATAATTGAATTTTTTTTTTCATAAGCCAATTTAAAAGAAAAAAATTATTTCAACCTACCGGTAAATATTCAAACTCTGTATTTGGAAATTACATTATTGCTGTATAAATGTTGCTGATGATGACGATTTTATTTCTCATGCAAAATATAATACAATAAATAAGTATATTACCAAAAATATACAATGAAGCAAAAAATATAATAGTAATAGCACAAGAGGAACTAACTAGAAGCACAGCTTGTTGAAGTATTAGTTCCTCAGAGGCTGTTTTACAATATTTCTTTAAACAAAGTATACATAGAAAATCAATAAATTAAAAAATTGAACAAACTATTAAACAGATTAACAAAGGAAATATAGATCTCATACCAACAATGACGTATTTTCCACAAGCCGACAGACAAGCCGATGATTCCACCCGGTCACCTAACACCGCCTCCCATAAGACATTCCCTGTTTCCATGGTGATAGCGAAAAATCGGTGAGAATGTGATCCAATGTAGACTGTTTGGCTGGAGCTACACAATGTTTATTTATGTAAAGATGGGATGAAAACAAAATTATCATTTAAAGATTAGTTTTTAAGTCTTTAGTCGTGTTAGTTTTTTTTCTCTCATATGTCCTCTAGCATTCTAAAAACGAAGCTTTCACAACAAGCTTTCGAATTACGCAATTCGATATGATGCAAAATTAAAGATGGGATATTATTTATAGGCAGAGTGGCCCATTAGCAAGCCCCCAAAAATGAAATCCTCAGAATATAATCAGCATTTTGAAGTGAATATTGACTAAGAATCATCAGGAGAATTATTTACTATAATTTGTACCACATTAAAAACTTTAATGAAATATGAACAAATAACAAAAATTGATTTATTAATTCTCATATTAAGTTGTGAAAACATAATCCAAGTCTACAGACCTAAAATGACCTTTGACCTTGATTTGTGACCTGGAATTTGTGTCATATGATTTGCTTGCTTTACCTGGTACACACTACAAGAGGTGAAGCATCAACGCATTTCCCAGTGTCCACTTTCCAATGTTCTTTCAAGCAGAGCTTCCCTGTATTCACACTGCATTCTGACTGTTCAACGGATGGCTCCGCACATGCTCCATGGCCCCCTTCTGATGTCCTTTCCTGAAAGCAGTTGTGATGTAGAATCTGGGTACCTCTCCGGACTGAAACAGTACAGTTATTTTGGATAGCTGCTCGGGAATTTGAACTCTGAGAGCTCAATGGAGGTGCTGTTTCTAGGCTAATTGATGTCTTCTTTGAAGATGCATCATCCAGAGGATCTCTAGAGGAAAGTTTTCTTTTGAGTGCTTGACTGGTCAGCAAATCATCATCCATTTTCCTACCTCGAGTTGCAGAGTCCACTCCTAAAAAATTGTCCTTTTGGTGTTCAGAAAATGATATGTTTAAGTCCTGATTTTCCACAGATCTCACAGCAATCTGAGTTGGTTTATTATCAAGAAGACCATTATCTGGAACAGCTTCCTTGCCAGTGCTTGCAGCAAATAATTTGTCTACGTTTTTATTGGCAAACTGTTCCTCCTTATCACTTTCGTATTCTTGGTGATGATTTTCGATAAAATGTTCTGAATCAATGCTTGTCTTCTGATTTCTGGTGTCAATGTCCTGATGGTTTTCAAGATCACTTTGGCCGCAAGTAGTCTGTTGAAGATGTTGCCCGATGGTCTGCTGAACCTTGGAGAAGGTCCGATGCAGGAGGTCATCCATGAGGTCAGGCAGAGGCATGCCAAGGGAAGCTTCAAGAGAATTGACCAAGCGCAGAGCTTGGAAGGAATCTCCACCCAGTGTCACAAAGAAGTCATGGTCCCCAATGGCATCCGATTCAGCCAAGAAGAGACAGTTCTGTTTTATGAGGGGGTAGATATTTATGAGAGATAGCGAAATTACATACTGGAGAAAAAACAAGAAAGATAACACAAAATAAAGCGATTTTGTACATAAACATATGTTGATATAGGGAGGATGAAGGGCAAAAGAAAACAAGAAAAACATCTCTTGCCTCAGGGTTTAAGAGAAAGGCCAGCAGCCCTGTCAGACACTTGAGACGGCCATCGGATTCCAATGGCAAAACATTTCCAGGAGAAGCACTTTTCAGGAAACGTTATGATCCTAGCTTGCTCTCCCTTTTCCAAAAAAAATAACAATATTGTAGTTTTCTTCATCATTAAATGAAAGTCGGAATATAAATGCAACAAGAGAGAATCACAATAACTATGCTTTTCACTAGATTACACTTGCAATAAACAGTTCGTTTAAATCCTTAGCATTCACAAAGCATGATTTCTCACCTTCCACTCTCTGACCAGAATCTCCTGCCATCTTCCTGTTGACCTTTGGCCTCTGATGTTCTGCTTCTCTCTCCTCTCCTTTTCAGATGCTTCAAGCTGCCAAAGAAGCTCCTTCAGCGCTGCCGTGTCCACCTTGCCATGTCTTGTGATGGGGAGCTCCTGCAGGGCCACAAACCGGTCCGGGATAGCATGACTTGGAAGTGCCCCTCTCAGATACTTCGCAACACTCCTCGGAGGCTGCAGGACACTACCCAAAGAGTTCTTTGAATCCTCCGAAGGCACTAATGCTCTGATAGCTACGGATACACGGTCATTGTTTTGGCAGTCGCCTGGATCTATTTCAGATATATTTGACGATGGTTTGTGATTGAAAACTAAACTTGATCCATCAGCTGACTGAGTAGATGGATTATATCTTAACTCAGCTAGTAATGTCATTGAAGAAACCAATTGTTTTCCAGTTGTTGGCCCTGTTACTCCAGCTGACGTATCACTTAATTCCAGATCAAGCGAACAGTCACCTAGATCTATTTCAGATATATTTGAGGATTGTTTGTGATTGAAAACTAAACTTGACCAATCTGACTGGCTGGATGGATCATATTTTAACTTGTTCAGTGATGTAATTGAAGAAACTGATTGTTTTCCTGTTGGTCTTGCTACTCCAGCTGACGTATCACTTAACTCCAGATCAAACGACGGCATGACCGGTGATGACGACGATGGTGATGGTAGTGGTGGTGAGGCAGATCCAAGAGGAGAGAAGGTCTTCTGGATGATATCATTTTCTTGACCAGACTGCTCTACTGGAGCTGGTGTTGAGGTAGGGTGTTTGCTGGACGGAGTGTAGAATGCAATCAACCTGCCGTCTGTATGGATGACATCACAGGATTCAACATCTGGGCAGGCTTCAATTACCTGTTAGAGCATAATCAGAATCACAATCAGCAATATTACATCCCAAACAAAGACTTCACAGCATCATATAACTTAAGCCTTCACTAAATTCCAACCACTGCACCAATATTCTGTACATGTTATATCTGGAATTACATGTCATCAAAACACTTGTACTATTTTATCTCTAAGTTGGACTTCACAATTATGGAAAGCCATTAGCATCTATGAAAATATTTTGAAAATTTTGATACAAATCATTCATATCTTCTATTATCGAGGAGATTTCTTGTTCTTGATGTGGAATTTATAAAAAGTCTAAAAAAGCTGAATTTTCTCTACAAATAGCTCTCCATAATTTTAAGTCCAACTTACAGTTAAGCCTGACTTAGGACTGTGAAACACCCCCATGTCTTTATGAGACACATTCAGATGAAAAACAGAAGGCAAAATATTTACCTGTTTAACATGAAAGAGACTCATTCGTTTGCCATGACGCTTGACTTGATCGTCCTGACGGCCGAGAAAGAGGAGCCCTCTGTTGGTGACCTCTACCATATCTCCAGTTGACCTCATTACCAGTTGGTCTCTCCTCACTAACACTTGTAACTCTTCATCACCAAGGAAACAGACACGCAGGTATCCCCCTGTAATAGAACAAAATGATTCCAAGTATTCACACACTAACGACACCATAGTGTTTACATATCATTTTCTAATACACAGTAAGATAGATTAAAATGAAAGTGACCATTCAAAAAATTTGAAATGCATATCCATCAACGTCTGTCTCTCACTATGTTTATCCAAGGCTATTCTCAATTTGTTTTTGTCTATCTTTAAATCAAGTACTCCCTTATCAATATTTCAATACTTTTTTACACATGAGGCATTTTACTTTTACCTTGAAGGTGTAATTTGCGTTCTTCGATTTCATAACCTCTTTCACTAATATACCTTTTTTTTTGGGGGGGGGGGGGGGTAAAAGACTACTCAGTAAAACTGCACTTGCTCCCTACACAATCATTGGATCTGCAAGAAATTGGTATAAAACTTTTACTCCAGCTTACCGATAAACACCTCCCCTATGCCTGATTCAAGCTCTCGCCCGGTTTCATCTCTGACTTGAAGTATGGTGTCTTTCAGTGCATCTCCTAATGGAATACTACAGAAACAAACAGGGCAGAAAGAGCTTTTCAGAATGATCTGCAAAATAGACCAAAACAAACTTGAAAGACAAGGTTGTTTATAACAAGAGTGCGCAAATTTTAGTAGGTAGATTTAGTCCACTGATCTAAGGGAACCAAAGTAAATATTAGCATAATACTGATACTAAATGAGCAAACAAAAATCTTTCCAATTTGAAATTAATTTGTCTTTCTTTTTGTCATGACTGGATTCATATAAAGCATAAACTTGTGTTAAAGATTTACATAAATTTCTTGTACACTAAAATTAATTGTACACTTCGCACTCCATAAATTAGTGGTCTAAGTTTGACTAGATTGTCCACCTTCATTAATACAGCCAATTCTCTTGACAACAATATCCTTACTGATTCCCCTCAATCTTATCAGTCAAATGACTATCACGATTGCTGTTTTCCAAGTGACATTGACAAACTGCTTATACGTATATATCTTTTAGAGATATAAAGAAAACTAGATGGAACTTCGACTGCGCGCAGTCGAAAATGATGCCTCCGTCATAGAGCAATTTTACAAACCAAAACAGAAGAAATTTTTTAAATTCAAGTTCAATTGTAATCCATTAACAGGTTCTCAGAATATCGTGATTACAAGCAATTTCTCATATACATATATGACCCTTTGATCTTTGACCTCATGACCCTAAAATCTACTCGGTTCATTGGCTCTGCAAGATGTCCTGAGTTAAATAGTAATCCATCTGTCAGTTCTTATGAGAATGCGTTCACAAGCTATTTTTGCATACATAATGAGCCCATGACCTTTGATCTTTGACCTTATGAACCAAGAATCTACTGTTTATTGGCTCTGCAAGATACATATATGAAGTTTGGCAGGAATCCATCAATCTGTTCTAATGATTATACGATCACAAGCTATTTTTTGCATACATAATGTGCCCTGTGACCTTTGACCTCGTGACCCCAAATCTAATCAGTTCATTGGCTCTGCAAGTAACATACATGACCTAAGTTTGGCAGGAATCCATCAATCGGTTCTTGAGATAACGCGATCACGAGCTGTTTTTGCATACATAATGAGCCCTGTGACCTTTGCCCTTTGATCTTGTGACCCCAAAATCTAATCAGTTCATCGGCTCTGCAAGATACGTACATGACCAAAGTTTGGCAGGAATCCATCAATTGGTTCTTCAGATAACGCGATCACAAGCTGTTTTTGCATACATAATGAGCCCTGTGACCTTTGACCTTTGACCTTGTGACCCCAAAATCTAATCAGTTCATCGGCTCTGCAAGATACATACATGACCAAAGTTTGGCAGGAATCCATCAATCGGTTCTTCAGATAACGCGATCACGAGAACGGGACGTACGTACGTACGTACGGACAACCCGAAAACATAATGCCTCCAGCTACTTCGTAACGGAGGCATAATAAGCTAACAATATTACGATATATCTCTCGGAGAGGACTTGAAGCCAAAGGTCCCCTGGTTGCTTATTAACAAGCATACACATGCTTTCTTAGCAGTCGGGTAAAACAAACAACCAAACCAACAATATTACTTGGTACTCACTGGTGATCTCGTCTCTTCTCTATCCACTCTTCTGGAATCTGGAAGCAGGATGCCCAGCTGGAGACTTCGGTGATTCCATACAGGTTGATGAACTCTGTCCGGTTCCCTGCCCCCCTCCAGCGGGCGATGGTAGCAGGAGTGGGGCAGGATTCGCCCCCGAAAACAAGGAGGCGAAGGGTAGAGGAGGCACCAAGAAGATCTTGTTGCAACGCCGAGGATGAGAAGCGGGATACAAGAGATGGCGTGGCCTGATAGAAGAAGAGGAAGAAGTGATTTTTAAACTTTTTTTTAGAAATATTGTTCCAAAGTCCTTTCCTTAAATAGTACATGAACCTATTTTGTTTGAGATCTGAGGCAAGACAAAACCAGCTGCTTTTGAAGTCTTAGGCAGAATGATTACCGTTCAGCATATTTAAAAATAAATTTGACTACTTTTGTTTCAATACAGAAATCAAAATATGTCCCTTGAATAAATACATTGAATGCTTTGAGAAATGTTCCGGCTTTGGCGTCTATTCTTATAACTTCCTGACAGGTTATACCACTTTGAACCAAATCCTGGTTTGCATCCTTTCATTGAATAAAATAATGATAATGAATGATTTAATCCAAATATTTTAGCCGCCCTACAAAAATTTGTGATTGATCATCAATCACAAGTCCTCCAATCAATCGCAAATTTGCAGAATACTTTCTCTTACATGTATGTACATAGATATCAATCGCAAAGAAGATCAACTCTTTGGGCCCTATTCTACCTGTAAAACAGTCACATGGTTTCTCTTTAGGACTTGGGCCAGAGAGCTGGGAGCCATCTTGAGCTTGGCAGGTACCATCAGGAGGGTTGCTCCCTGGCTCCAGGTCATGAACATCTCTACCACACTGGGGTCAAAGGTCAGAGGTGAAGCCATGAAGACCACATCGTCTTCGGTGATTGTGAAAATCACTCTGTAAAATAAAGGGATAATGAGCTCTACCAATAACATGATCATGGACATGGTGGATAGCGATAACACAGAGACCTCTCTTTGCAACATCTTTTCATTCTCTTGAAACCAGGCAGCTGAGGCTGATAGGTACCATCTTTGATTTTAAACACTTCATAAAATTACCCTTAAAAAGCACATCAAAATCTTCATCATAAAGAACCATTATTAAATAAGAACACAATCAGTAAACACTTGACCCTTCACGGATATATCTATGGTCCACAAACAGAACTAGAATGCAATTCAATACCTAGAAACAAGAAAAGGAATGTTTTTAACATTGTATCCCGACTGATGATTGCGGGAAGAGGCATCACTAACTTGAGATTGTATAACTTCATTATATTGCATAATGGGGCCAAGGAATGACAAAGACAATGATCACTTGAACCTCTGGAATACTAAGCCTGGAGTAACCTGGGTGGAGTCTCATAAAAATAGTAATAATAATAATAATAATTTTAAAAATCAGTTCCTGTGTAGCGCACATCACTCATTAACGTCCGTATGCCTTTCCAAAGAGCTTTGGAAATTATTACCCTAGCTTTAGCTCTAACATCCATTATTGGCGCAGAATGCATTTCCAGGAAGCAGCCATTATCAGCACAGAATGCATTTCCAGGAATCATCCTACCAGGTACCCATTTACTTCACCTGGCATGTGGCAAATGTAGATTAATGTCTTGCCAAAGGATGATAGTGCAGTGGCAAGGATTTGAACCCTGTACCTTGTGGTTCAAAGTCTGGAGACTTATCCACTGGGCCATAACACCTGTACCAAAATCAAAACATATTTAATTGGTCAATAAATCTACTCCAGTGTTTTTTTTCTCCACTTACCGAAGATCCAAGATGTTTGGTACTATACAAGAGTGTGGCACTCGCACTATCTTAGGCCTGCCAGTCGTCCCTGAGGTATGGAGAGCATATGCCAGAGAAGAGGACTGTTCCTCTCTGTCTCCATTGCACAGGTCCTGCTTGTTGTGCTTGGTGGCGTCTAGTCGCACTGGAACCAGCTCAGAAGACATCAGCTCTTGGTCTACATGGTGGCAGAGTTCCCAATCAAAGCTTTGGCCTAGACCATTGGCAAAGTGCTGATGTGGTGAGATTAAACGAAAGGAAGAAAGATTTAGGGATGAAACAGAATTATGCAGGTTATGATCCTCACCAATTATGGCCAATTACTGTGCAAGAATGTATCTGAAGATAAAGCTACCTTTGTTAAGATAAACTGGGTTAAATTCTCTCCTGGTTTCAAATTCAAGCCAAATGAATAAGTGAAAGACCAAAGGACTTCATCTTGCCATCATATCTACTTTTGTTCTTACTTGAATCCTTATCACTCCTTATACTTTTAGACCAGTTTATTATTTCCCTTTATTGTTTCTTTTATTGAGCTCTGAGCAAATAATCATTGATTTATTTCAGGCAGAAGATTGTGATGCTGGTGAAATAAACTTGTTGATATAAATATATCAAGATAGCTACATGTAGGAATCTACTTGAGAATTCCTAGAACAAGAAATTAGTCGACAATAGTTTGAGTCATAACTGCTCATCAAAATTAAGCCAAAAAAGATATCTTGCTTTTAAAATGGTGGGGACGAGGTAATTGCAAAATATATCTACCTCTAATAGACAGCTCTGTACACAGACAATACGGATGCCAACTTCTTTGATGAAATACTCATTGATAGAGCTTGGAGCATGTGGATCGATAGGGCCATAGGCAGCAGGGAGTTGAAGAATACTGGGTAAAAAGAAATGATAAATTATAAAGAAATAATGTTTGCAGGAATTAAAGACAACATATAACAATAAATTTGTTGTAATAGTCAGTTACTCGCAATTAAAAAACTGCAAATAAAAGCTACTCCCTCAGAGGCATAACAATGTAAGTATTTTGCTTTGATTTCATACAATAAATTATACAAGGAGAGAAACTGTTGGTTGGTAAAAGGGGCCAGAAAATGTGCACATGAACATAAATCCGCTGAGAGAAATGTCAAGGCTAAACAGTATTTCACGCAAACTCCATGTATAAAGCAGTCCTTCTTTAAACTTCAAGTTCCCACCAAATGCTGCCTTTTTGCTTTGCATTAAAAATTAACAAGAATTGTCTACATAATTGGGCAACTGTGGCCTTTCATACAACTATACAAAAGTGCACTGTTTTGTACAAGTAGCTGTCACTGATCGAAAGGGGGATTAGTTCAAGTTCCAAGGACCACCAAACAATGGGACTTGGGATCTCTTAGAAACTGTCCTGCACAGGTGCTGGACGTACTTGGAGGTCTAGATCATATAAAAAGAAAAGTTTAAGGATAATGTGGAGTCCTTTGTTGTGATAAACAAAGGCTAACACAATTGTCTATTTTCGAATCTATACAGAAAAGTATCTCTACACAGTACTTCACAGGCATGTGTAATATGGTTCCATGGGGATCGAGGCAGTTATAAGAACATACCGGTACTGCAAGTTCAACACTGTGTTGTTAAGTATGTATGTAATATCAGAAGCAGATCTAGAGGGGGGGTTGGGGGGGTTGCAACCCCCCCCAAAAAAATATCCGGGGACCATTTTTTTAAATCTTATCTTTTTTTTAAAACTTGTAATTTTATTGTATTCTATTTCTATGTATTTATTTCATTTATTATTATTATTATTATTTTTTTTTTTTGGGGGGGGGGGGGGGGGGGGGGGGGGGGGGGGGGGGGGGGGGGGGCTGGGCGAACAAATGTCACAGAGTCCCTTGCCCCCCCCCCCCATCAGCTTTTTTGAGGACACGGGCCACCGCCGAAGTGAAAAAAAAAAGAAAGAAAAAAGAACGCACGCTGGAGAGAAACCCTTTCAAGTGCAAATATTGTGAGAAGATTTTCAACTCATCTGGTAACTTAACCAAACACATGATAACTCTGGATATAACTGTGTATTTAACTGTTACTTGATTTAAAAAGACGTTATCATGCACTGCTTTTTATGGTCTCCATTGTGTTAATAGATGCCAGGAAAACATCACTTACAGGGTTCAAATAAACACCCCCAAAAAAATCGGCTCGCCGCTTTGCAGCTCGTGGACGATGCTCCGCATCGTCATTATTTTGGTCAACCCCCCCTTAGCAAAAAGCTAGATCCGCCCCTGAATATATATATTTATACACTTCACGCAATCTTGACAAACTTCAATACGCTTAGAATGCAGCTGCCAGGATTTTATCAGGGACATCTAAAGATGAACACATTTCTCCTGTTCTCAAAAAGCTGCACTGGTTGCCAATCTACAAGCGCATAAAATTCAAAATCCTTCTCCTCACATGGAAGGCTGTAAATAGAGTGGCACCAAACTATTTACAAGACCTTGTTATTTCTTATACACCAGCTCGTAGTCTGAGATCATCACACCAGTATCTTCTTAAGAAGAAATAGTGGGATATTTTGCAAACTAGACTGAGATTTCTTGGGATATTATCCCGACCAAATATCCCGCTAATTGCTACTTTGGGCTGATGAAGACGCAAATTAGCTTGATAATTTGCGATCGGGATAGTTCACATAGCGGGATATTTGGCAATCTTGAGCTGATGAAGACAGCCCTACTGAGATAAAAATGAATCTCAGAATCTGCCCCAGGTGACTTACCCAAGAATGAAAGCAGGCAAGGTGATGCCAGGCTCCGCATAAAGGCCGATGATCTCCCCACACTTGGAGTGAGCATTTAGAAGGGATGTTACTGTGTTTGCGGTCTCCAGAACCTGTCTGTATGTTACCACCTCGGCACCATGGCAACCGTCATCAAATATGGCTGCCAAGTGATGGGGAACTTGGAGCAGGCTTCTATCATCAGCTTGTGAAGGGTTGGTTCGGTCATTTTGCTGACATCTTTCTATTCTAAGATCATAGGCAACACAGGCGCCGACAGGATACAGTTATGGAGAAGAAAACAAATATGTTAAAACCGGTGTAATGATATCAGAGTGTATCCTAAACTTGATGGTCAGGGGCCCGTTCCTACAAACCGTCATAAGTCTAACTTCTTGACTAAATCAGCGTTAGTGAACAACTTGTCCGCTACGTGTTTCACCAAGCCCTCTTTGCCAAGATCAACGACAACATCCTGACTAAGGAGTTATGACACCTCTGACACCCGTCGTATCTCTGTCATAACTATTTAGTCGATGGGCAGCGCCATCATATGTCATTTATTTGGTAGACTATGGCTGGCAAAAAAGGACAATAAATCCTCCAACTATGATTTTTCTACACATTCACTTAAACAGTGAATTATCGTTTTTTGTATTTGATAATCTCATGAAAATATGCCATGTTTGTATTCAAGGATTTTTCCACTTAAATAAACTGATTATACGCCTTTATTTCCACATTGTAAACTCGTCGAAGGGATATGTATTTTGCCACGGCAGGCAAGCCATAGTTTGAAGTGTATTCTTTAGTTTTCAGACCCATATTAATTTCGAGATGAATTCTATTTTCAATTATGTAAAGTGAATGGTTTAAACATATGTTTTAACCTTTGAAATATTGAAGTTTTGTAATTTTTATATTGTGCTGACGCCAAAAACATTGAACACAAATTTCATTACATCGTATTTTTTCAAAGAATAATATAAGGGTGTATTTTTATAAACTATCAAATGAAAATATTCGGGGGTGCCCATCTCAACAACAAAACTGATTCACTGGTCATGTAATGAAAAACTCACAATTATAGTTTACAAGTACTTCAATTGTTTAATCTACACAAATTTGGAAGTATATTGGATCTCTTATTTCTTGGTATCATTTTCAATCTTTTTTATTACTAATTCATTTAAATAATTGCATTTTCCCTAATATTAATTTTGTAATAATCTGGTGGTATTGCGACTAAGGCTAATTCTCGGCTCCTCTTCTCGCCGATAATATCGATCTCACGAGATACTAGCTAGTAAGCTCTTCGTGAAACGGTTTAGGAAGATCAGAGACATCTCCGTAGTTGGCGGATAAAGTTATGACTGTCTTGTCGTTGGTTTCTAGGAACGAGCCCCAGATGTTATGGGAGAGAGAGAGAGAAAAATACATGAAAAGGGCAAGTGCCAGTTGACTCTTTTGCTGAACATGGCGACTGGAAATGAAAACGATAACATGAAGAAGAAAATATGCAATATCTTTGATTCTTTCAATGATGAATTTCAATTTTCATGTCATTCCTTATCTGATTTATTTGCCTGACTACACTTGCTGTATTTATACCTCAATAGATTAACGAAAAGCCCAAAAATAAAACTATTTATCATGCATTTTATTGTTTGTGCAAACTTGCTTCCTCGTACTCGTACTCGTAGTCGTAGCTTTATTTTTTTTAAAGTAATGTTGTGTGAATGCAGTGAACACGCAAAACAATCACACTCACAATACACCAGTGCACACGTAACTGTACAACTCCAACTGAGTCCAATTAGGGTCTACTGAATTAGCCCAAAACCAAAAAATAATAACTGTCTAATAACCTCGTAGTCGTACTTCTGATCAGTGTCAGTGACATGGTCATGGGTTTAGATCGGGCTTCGTCTCCGAGTCTCACTACTGGCCCTCGTACACGGGGCGCTGCTGGGCTGGCCGACTAGAGCGCACCTCCCCCCACTCAGCTCAGTGCAGTGCTATAGCTGGGTGATCAAAATATCCCACCGCAGCGCACATGTCACATGCACAACAACACAAGAGTCAACAAACACAAAATGTATGTAGACTTCCTCGTATCATTTTATTTTATTTATATTACTTATAAGGTACAGAAGTAATAAAATATATTCCAAAATAAAACATATATTTAATTTGGACCGGTAAGCAACTTAACATTTTATTAATTGTCAAAAATGCTTTCTTCATTTGACTAATCTCGAATAAATTAAAGATGGCTGCGCCCATGAGAGAAGGAAAGGATATAAAATCCATATCCTGTCATGTCTGTGATAAGCCGTTTAAAGCACTAAAACGCTGTAAAAGTTGTAAATCGACATTTTATTGGTATGATTTAGAATTCTGATTGTGTATGATTGCATCTTTTGGTAGTTTAAGCACGCCCCTCTATTCATATTCTACATGTATGACCCAGCGCCAGCCCCAGTCACTCAGCAGTCATACCCTAACTCCAGGGAGCTCCGACGCCTACATCTACGCCGAAACCAAACCGCGCCAGCCTCGGACCGCGCCAGTTCAGCCAGGCCAGAGCCCATGGGCATGGACTGGATTTGTTGCACGGTCTCTTATTACATGCATTCATTTTTTGTTACCATCAGGGGAAAGGCATCATATGCAACATTTTGAGATGATTCAATTTTCATGTTGCTCTTATCTTAGTCTTACTCTTTTTTCTGAGAACTTATAGTTTTACTCATTACTGGGTTTAGAGAATATCAGTGAAACGATGATAGACCTAGATCTACATCACTCCAGCAAAGCATTGACTACGGATCTACATGTGATGTAGTTCAATTACTGAATTAGTTGTCTAGATACTCTCTAGACTCTTGTCTACTGAGTGCTGTCTAGTTATGTTGAGGCTAGTACTAATAGTAGTACTATAGTAATTAGTATAGTAAGACTTAAAGTAGTATAAAAACAAACTTCTCAGGTTAGATATTTCAAGGAAAAAGTTGATAATTATTATTCTGTTAATGTTATACAAATGTTATGTTGCCTATACAAAAAATCATGTAAATTTACTTGCAATTGCTAATCGTATAATTCTATTATATTTCCATTTCCGTAAACAGTTCCAGAGAATGCCAAATCAATGACTGGCCGACCCATAAACTTGAGTGCTCACCAAAAGACCGGTCCACTCGTGGTCACCATGAAGAAACAGAAGCTGTGGGAACTGAAACGGTGAACTTACAAACCCTGACACTTGATGAACAAACCTGCAAAGATGATGAACAAACCTTGAAGAAGTTGGGTAACGGTGAACTGCTAACAGATTCAGCTTACGAGTCTCGTGCTGAACAACAGGAGAAGGTCCTGCAACCTGGTGGAAGAACAGAATCAGGGAGTTCAACATCTACAGTAGACAGCATTAGAGACCCTGTGACAATTACTATTAAAATGAGCAAACAAAAGCATCGTGTCACTCTTGGCAGGCAGAGTACTGGGACAAGCTTAATGGCTGACATTTCGAGAGCAGCGTGTATCCCACTCGAGCAGATGAAGTTGATCCACAAGGGAAAACTGATGAACCCTGACAACATACATGAATCCCTCACAGACAGAGCTGTCTTTCAAGCCATTGGAGAAGTTGCAGAGAATGATGAAGGACTAAGCGGGAAGGACATCACATGCGTGATGGACCAGATGAAAGTGGATCGTAACACAGCCATCAAAGCTCTAAGAAACACCAAAAATGCCATTGATGCTATTTTGTATCTTGGCAACAAATAGTCTATACGGTGAATATTTGCATGAATAAATCAGTCATGCATTTAAACAAAAGAAGTTGAATATAGCCTTCATTGCCTTGAAAAAAATCACCTTGATATATACTGTATATATATATAGTTTTCATATCCATATGTTTATTTTTAAATATGTTACCCTGCATTATGAATTATTCATTAATTGATATTCGTTAAAGGGCAAGTCCACCCTGATTTAAGTTGTTTTTAATAGATGCCCCAAAAATGAGAAGAACCGGTCAGTGAAAATTTGAGCAAATTCCAATTAAAATAAGAAAGTTATGAATAGATCTATTTGAAGCTGCAATAATTATTTTCAAAAATTTGGCAACCGTGGCAACTTAAAAAAAAAAAAAAATTGATCGTTCATGCACCCAATATATAATTATTGCATATATGTTTTTATAAAATCATCTAAGGAAGAAATCTATTCCGTCATCAATAATTAAGAAAATTAAAGTTTATGAAATTTCTGTATAAAGGTAATTGGAGAGGACCTAGCAAGATGCATCAGAGTTGCCAATTTGTGTTTGGTTGATCGTAACTTTAAAAATTTGGCATTAAGAGAAAGGCGTAAAGAGGATAAATGATTTTATTGATGACCGTTCATTCTAAATAGATACATGTACATAAAACCTTGAATAATATTGTGTGAAGTATGGCTCTCTTATTTGCAAGTCAGATTCAACAGATTGTAAATTTTGCCAAGAGGTCTGCGAGTTTTAAATGCGTGTCATACGGTAGAAATGGGAAACCGGTCGCTGGTAGGAAGAGGGTAAGAAATGAGAGAGGGCGTTTGAGTGAATGACAGGAAGAGGAATGAAGTGAGGACTAGTGCATGAGGTGGAAGAGAAGAGGAAAGTGAGAGAGCCAAAGGAAGTGGTATAAAATGGGGGGGGGGCTGGTGAGAGTTATCCTTAAGAGAGATCTATAGAGGAGAGAACAGACTAAAGATATTTTGTAATGCACATGAAAGTGGAGGAAGGAAAGAGTGGGATAGAAAAAACTTTGAAAGCAACACCAGACTCGTTCACAAAATGATCATAAGTCATCAACCCCGAGCCCCCATCCCCTGTGCCGATCTTTAGTATTTAAAGAAAATCGATGGCTAGGCCTGCAGCAAGGTGCCAGATTAAACGTGTTTACATCCAAGCTATAATGAATTTTTACGATGAAATAACTTTTAAACAAATCAAAGTGACCATTGTTGCTCGATTGCTTCGCTCCCTTACAAAAATCCAAAAACATGACAACGGAATGCCCAAAAATCCTCACACTCAACAATTGCAGCGTATATTTTGATGACAAAATAATGTTTTTACTACAATAAGAAGTGCCTCGCTCGCTTCGCCTGCTTTCACAGTTATGTAGATAATTTTGAGGGGGCGCAATTCCCCCCCCCCCCCCCCCCCCCCCCATTGCGCACCCTTACCTGACGCCAAATCATAGATACGCCACTTCCACACACAAAAAATCTCAGTGGAAGTTGAAAAGATAATATTTTAGACCAGACAAAAGTGTCCTTTTTTTACTCGGGATGGGGGTCGATATTAGCACTTTGTCTTATAATTGGGAATTCCGATCAAGTTAAAATTTTAGGAGGGCATAAAAATCAATTAAGGCAAACAAATTTGTAGTTTAAGCAAGTCATATAATTGATTGGTGGTTGCTTTTATTAATATCCCATGCAAAATTAACAAAGCATAATACTCTTTTACAAATCATTTTCTTTAAGTAATATGGAAGTTTAAAAAATAAAGTAGAAAGTAAAAAATAATCCTGAATCACAGTAGTCAATGACATGAAATATATTGTTCTGTCAATCATTGAATTGAATTGATAATGATTTTATTGAGAATAAAAGAACAACAATGCATCGCGGCCTACAAGGCCGAATTGGGCAATGTTTTACAAATGTAAAATACAATATATAAAAACATTCATATTAAATGACATCAAATTAATGAACTGAACTTGAATGAGTAAATTGTTAAAAAATAATATTTAACTTTTAAATTCGTATTTCTTATTATTATTTGATCTCCCTAACTAATTTTTATATAAAAAGGAGATAAAGAAAAGTGAAGAAGAACGTGATGGTGGTGTAGAGTAAAGAAAGCATAGACAAGAGGATGGTGAGATTATGAAGAGGGAGAAGAAGAGAAAAAGTAGAAGAGAAGGAGGAAGAAGGAGAAGAAGAAGATTCAAGTGGGGATAGTAAGATGATAGGCAGCGGGAAGTGCGAATAGTGACACCATCATAATGTATCGATATCAAAATTCAAGCATTACACATTATCAAACTATTAATGGTAGAGGCGAAGTTATGTAGAAAATAAATACTTATATGAATTATTGTACGAATTAAAAATTTACTCTAGGTAATATTAACTTCAGTACAGCAAATGTAGTGATTCTATTATACAGATACAAAGATTGGACCCCAGTATAAATATAAAATTGGTATATGTGTATGAATATTATAATAAAAAAAATATTATATTTAAAAAAAAAAAAAAAACCTACTCAAAAGATAAGCATGTTCACTGAATTAAACTACATGAAAGCGGAATACACAAGCACAAAATAAAAAGAGAAATGAAACAAAATACGATATTTTACGGCTAAAAGTGGAAGAGAGAGAGAGAAATAGATTGGGTTGCGAAGATAAATGGATACATGGATAAATAGAGTTCATAGAGGATTGCGATTTAGCTAGTAAATTCGTGATACCACACCATTCGTTGCTGTAATTCTTGTCAAGTAGGGGCAGCGAAGCGTCTTCGAAAGTGGGGGCACCAACAGGGCACTTTCTGAAAAAGGGGGCACCTATAAAGGAAAATCTCAAAGTGAACATATACCATTTTCAGACATTGGTTTATACCCCCTTCATCGTTACGATTGCAAGTTCACTATCAGGGATGACATCAATATTTGTCTCTCTCTTTACGTAATACAAGATACTGCTTAAGCAGCATACTTTGTAGTTGGGTGTGATGGTCTGAATATTAATTTTTAATGAGCGAAGCGAGCGAGCAAAATGTTTAGATTTGTGAGGTCGTATAGTAAGGAAAATTACATCTTAGATAAACACTGATTAGTTTTAAGCACAATCTAATGAAGAAAGACTGAACAATTCTTTTATGAGTAACATAATGATAAAAACTACAAATGAGAGCAGCGTAGCGAGCGAGCTCTAGGGAAATTAAAGGAATTAAAGGGCAATTATCAGAGGTAAAAATGGTGCACTTCTTGTACCTGAAAAGGGACACCCAACAGCGATTAAAAAGGCACTTATGAGAGTGGAAATGGGGCATCTGTTGAAGGGAAAGGGGACCTATCAGATTTTCGTAGGGGGTTATATCAGATGTAAAAAGGGTCATTTGGCGGGGAAGGGGCTCATATATATTTTAAAAAAAAGGTTAAAGGGAACTTTTCCGAAGGAAATATGGTACTTATGAAAAAGAAAAAGGGGCACGTGTCCCAAAAAGGGCACTTATCAGAAGTGAAAACTGGTATTTCAGAGAAAGGGAAGGGGTTCGTGCTACAAAGGGAAGGGCACGTATCAGAAGGAAAAAGTGAAATTATTAAACAGGAAAAGGGGCACGAGTCAAAGTAAAAAGTGCAGAAATATCAGAGGTGAGAAGGAGAATTTCTCGCACCTGAAAAGAGGCACTCACCAGCGGGCTCACCAGAGATGAAAAGGGGCACTTATGAGAAAGGAAAAAGGGCGCCTTCAGATTTTTGATAGTGGCAATTAATGGGGTGTAAAGGGGGCATTTATGAGAAGGAAAAGGGGCATTTATCAAAGGTAAACAGGGGTACTCATCAAAGAAGTAAAAGAGGACTTATCAGAAGGGGAAGGGGGCAATTATTACAATTAAAAAGGGGCACTTGTCAAAGTAAAACGTGTACCTATCAGAGCTATTGATCCCTGTTATTTTACTTTATTAACATTAATCTATAGAAGATAATATTTCCTTTCACCTATAATGTCATGTCATTATGGCAAACATTTGCAAGTTCCATGAAACTTGCAAACTTTTTGGTAGGCCTAAATTCCAGAGCACAGGGTAGGCCGGCATATATAGGCCTATATAATTACATGTCAGCTTACTATTTCCATGGATAAAGTAATTACAAACAATGTATTTCGAAACTATTCTTATAGCCCTATTACTCATCGTTTTCAACACTGGGTTTCCCCGATACTGCACCGACGCAATTTTCGTCATCGAAATTACTGAATCTTTCTGGTTCTTCTTATATTACACAAAGGCCGGGGTATACAAAGTTCATGAAGTAGAATATTCGCCCCCGCATATATTACTCATGTCGATACATGTATACTATAGACAGCCCAGCACACTTAATGATTTACAAACTTTCTAGACAACTAAGTCCTTGCAGAGCAACTAAATGCAGTTACAAGTAAGATATTTTAACTGGATATTCATATCAATTGAACCATAATGTGCAATTCCCGTCAAAATAATACTCTTCGATCCTTCTCTCTCCGCCGTTACTTCACCCATATCGGGCTATGTGTATCACTTACGTAGATGTCCCGTTATAATTCGCAAAACTGTGTACGGGAATCTACCAATATGTGTGTATTCTTTTGATCTTCCGGGCGGCCGAGGAATCGCGGAGGCGGATCATGAATATTCATTGTGTAATCAGGCACGTCACTGAGGATGCCGAAAAGTACGGGTGCCAATTTGATGAAGGCGCATTGTATAATGATTAGCACAAAAGCCTGAATACAGTGTTTTCGTACTATCGCATGGTTTGAGTTCGTTGGGCTTTCCCCATCTCGGTCCGAGAGCCGAATACGGGGGGGGGGGGGGGGGGGGGGGGGGGGGGGGGGGGGGATGAATGAATAGATCATCCCCCTGAACAATAGGTATCAATTTGTTATGCTCTATATGTCATTTGAAAGAAAGACGAATAAAATCTTATCTTATCTTATCTTATCTAATTACAGATTTACGCCTAGGCATAAATTCGCTTGAGAGGCTGACTTTAAATACCCACATAAAAACTATCCAGCCTGAAGGACAGTCCACATATTATTGATTATTTTAAACCCGGGGGGGGGGGGGTACCCGCTACCACTCGCAACGACTCAGCCAGCCGCTGAATAAGCGAGGGGAGGGGTAAGAGGTCACTTTTTTTTTTTTTTTGGTCTCGAAATTTAAAATGATTTTCCATTAAAATGAGTTATATATATATATATTTTTTTAATTTTTTTTTTTTTTTTTTTTTTTTGGGGGGGGGGGGGGGGGGTCCCAAAAATTTCGCAACGACTCAGCCAGCCGCTGAATAAGCGG